CTTTGTATGTATGGATCACTTGGGTTGTTACCGACATCTGGTGAAAATTTCATGTCATTAGCACCTCTAGTAATATATTTACTGAGAAAAATGTTGATGGGTTCAATACTTGTTTTACCTGCTGTAATACCGGCAGAGTTTGGAGTCTAAGTCTAGCAGGGAGTTTTTTTCTCTGAACAGACTCATTCAGACTGAAAGATGTTCTTTATGTTATTGAACTGAATGTTTGTTGTATTTTAAACAAACCTTATCTTTGTTGAGTGTAGCTGTTTGCATGGCAGTGGTGGTAAAAGGAAGAGTTCAATGCAAAACAGTTTTACTGTTGTGTGACACAGGAACGTGTTGTAAAATGTTGTGATGGATGTCAGAAAAGCTGCTGAAGTCTCCCTGAGGACACCTGGATGCAGCTCAGATGCTTTTTCTGATTCCTGATGGATAAAAAATCTGATTAAAAATACTTTATTCTTCACAAACAGGAAAAAAAATTGAATACAATTTGGTAAAATAAAACCGTTCTCACTTTACTCTTCAATCACCAAAACTAAAAAAATGATGCGTCTTGCAAAGAAAAATAACAAAATACAATAATCTGAAAATCATTTAAAGCATTTTTATTAAAAAAAATATTGAAATAAAATGAATGTTCAGTTCTATAAAAAAGGATAGAAAGAAATTCACCACAGATGACAAAATGTGCAACAGGAAAGAAAGATTCTTGTTCATTTTTTCTACTTGTGCAACTTATTAATTCTGCACTTTGTTCTATTTCAGCTACATGTGAAAATGTTCGGCTCATCAGGAGAGTGTCGTGACTGACTAAATACTTGCAAATATTTTGTATAGAAATACATAAAGATCTTGTTCAGTTTCTCAACAAATGTTCTCTTAAAATCTGCCTCTGCAGATTTTCTGTTTTTATTCTTATGCTAGTTTTATGGTTAGCTACCATGTTGCTACTTTTAGCTAGCCTTTAGCTACATTTAAGTTTTAGTCAGCCTTTTGTTGCTTTTAGCCTCTAGTTACGCCTTTATTGCTTTAATTGTAATTTTGCTGCTGTTAGCTTTTAGCTCTTGTTTTACAGCTTCTAGAGTTCTGCTTTTAGCTTGGTTTGTTTCAAGTTCAAGTTTATTTATATAGCGCCAAGTCACAACATACGTTGTCTCAGGGCACTGTACATAAAAAGAACAATCTAAAGAAGAAACCAGCAGATTGTGTTGAATCACTTCATCACAGTCTCCCATCCTGAGCAAACGGTGGAGAGGAAAAACTCCCTGCTAATCAGGAAGAAACCTCCAGCAGAACCAGGCTCAGGACAGGAGACCATCTGCCTCGACCGGTTCTTTAGGTAATTACAGTACAGTTGTACAGGTCAGTTCAGTCAAAGTCCACCAGCTTCCTGTTGGTCTTTGCAGAATAGCAGATGATCAGGTTCAGTGAGCTGCAGAGGAAAACTCACAAACAAGAATTTGAAGTTGAAACAACTGAGGATCAAAACCAACAAGAGAAAACCAACGTTTGTCAAGATCTGTCTTTATTTTGTTTATTAGTTTTAGATTTATTTCCTTTACTCTTTGTCAGAGGTCTATAAAGTACTTGAAAAAAACTACGTAAAAGTAGAACAGACAGAAAATGTTTGGTATAAATAAATTTTACTGATGAGAAAAGTACTTTCAGTAAAAGTCACAAAACTGTTCATCAAAATTGGGAAAGTAAAAGTACTTTTACACACTCACTAAGAAATAAAATGTAGAATTTGCTGAACCCTTTAACAGTGTTTGTTCCACCGGTGGGCAAAAATGTGCGGTTTCTGACTTTAAATGTTTCCAGACACTACCAGGGGCTTTTATTTTGAAGACTAGGTCAGACAACTTCCTCCAGTTCTTACCTTTAGTTTGGCACCTTAAAAATGTCAAAAGGCTTTTAAGGGATTTCAGGAGCATCTGTTAAGGGGTTAACCAATATTCTTGCCTCATTTACTCTACTGGGTTTAGTGAAACCAGCAGACATAACTTGGTTAAGTAAATTCAACACTTCAGTTTTTTAGAGCGCATAAACAACTCCTTTCATGATGAGTTTGGACATATTTAATTTGTAACTGTTACATTTTGAAGTAAAGGTATCTATTTTAGGTTTTAAATGCAACAAAATAAAAGTAAAAGTAATTATTAAAAAATACATGATAAAATTACAAATCCTCAAAAATTATGTAAGTACTGTAACTAAGTAAACGTACTTAGTTATTATAAACCTCTGCTCTTTGTGTATCTTTGTGTTTCAGTTTTTCTCCTGTGTGTCTTCAGCCAGTTCCTTTCAGCCATTGTTTCCTCAGCTCCAGCGCCCACTCTCACCTGTCTCCAGTTACCTGTAGGCTACACCAGGTGTTTCCCCTCAGCCTCTCAGTTTTCTCTCCTACAGTTTGGCATCAGGTATCTTTCCACCTCTGTGTTCCTCAGGGGGGTTTACAAGTTGTTGCTGCCACGTCAGCCATTTTGTTTTTACCCGAGCTCTTCTTGTTCATGTCTGCAGTCCTGGTTCCACCCTCGACAAATGACGAACTTTACCACAAAAATAACACAAATGTTCAACAACATCAGACTGAGTCATGGAAACACAGCATAACAGGTTCATTCTGTAAAGGAATAGTTCATATCTTTAAATGTGGGGCTTTGTGGAGAAAGTATGAGCAGTAATATCTTGCCTACTGAAGAGTAGGCAAGCCTTTTAAAGTGGACCAAATTGAAGCTGGTTGCCACAGCTAACCTTAGCAAACCTAAAACCATCTCTAACTCTGTTAATTTTACAGTAGCATCATCCTCAACAACTCATCACAACATCTCTGAATAAAACTTTGGTATCAGTTAGATCAGTCCTGATTGTTAGTGAAATAGTGCCTTCAGGCCCAGGCCTCCCTTGATAAAGAGATGTGTGATCTCAGTGGGATTTGCCTAGTTAAATAACAGTAAACAAATAAATAAAAATATCATGAAACACTGGATGACTTCCAATGAAACTTTTAGAACATAACCATTAGATGACAACAGGGCAACTAAGCGTTTAAATTATTTTGTCATAATTATTCATGTCAAGTTTCTGCTGGTTTCTGTTTTCATCTTGTCAGACGTTAGGATTTATTTCTACAAACACAGCTGGGACTGGAATGGATTGCAAATTGCCTAGAGGGGAAAAATGTAAAGTTGAATACAACATGGAAAGCAACTGGAATAGTCTTTGACAGTGAAATGTTTTGTAGATTTGATTTTGTATACATAAGTTTGAATCACTACTGCACCAAAGGAAACCCCTAATTTCATTATTATCTGGTGCCAAACGGTGATGGTACATTTTTGCTACATCATGAGAACCATTTTCCAGAAAAAGGCAGCCTTGTGGGGACCTCGTGCATCGTGGGGACCAATGTCTGGTCCCTCACGGGTATGGATGCTAATTTCAGGAGGGGGTTGGTTTTAGGACCAAGGTGTGAATTGAGTTTAGGTTAGTTTATGGTAACCTGTGAGGTTAATTTTAGGGTAAATGGTCAGGGTTAGGATGTAAAATTAACAGAAAATGAATGGAAGCCAATTCAATGTCCCCACAGGTATTTAAAAACAAACTGTGTGTGTGTGTGGATGGACAGCTAAATATTTTTGAGGTTTTTTTGCTTCTTTTGAAAGAGTGGACCCTACGGTACATGAAAATACTGTGGGGGGTCTTTGTGTGTCTTTGAAACAACAGAAAATAAAGATTAAATGTGGGACTGTGGTTCCAGGCAGGTGGTTTTCTGATCCAAAGAGCAGGAAGAGGTCTGCTTTGACAGTCAAATAAAGTCAGATTAGAGCGTCCAGCCTTTGCATGTCTGTCAACATTAGTTCTTCCTCAGATGAGTGACTTTGTCCTGGTCCAGTCCAGCCCGGCTCAGAGAGGAGCTGTTGACATGAAGATTTACTGATGTCAACCCAGAAACACAGGTCAGCTGATATTTATTTACTCTTTATTCTACAAACAAACTGCGGTTTTCTATAAAGTTGTGCTTTTAACCGTACATCTTCTTGTAACGGCTCAGATGGTGGCTCTGAGTGCTGAGTGGTGTATTATTATTATTATTTTACATTTTAAGAATTCAGATCAGGGAAAATAATGACAAGGAAAATCTAATTTATTGCACTTAAAGGATAAAAGGATGCAAAACTTAATCAGTTTTTTAAATTCAAAGATAGTTTAGTGATAGATAGTTTTATTTTTTGTAGCGCATGACATTTGTAAAATGAGTTCAATTTGGTTTTCAAACTAATAAACGTAAACAAGAATTATTTTAAATGGTCAAACATTCAAAAATTCAACATTTAACATAACCTTCTCTTCTAGGAGCTAAAAGTCCTAATTCATTTCTGTTATTTTTTTTAAAATAAATATCCTTTAAGCCGGTTTAGTTCAGCACAAATTTATTAGTAAAATAGCTGCATGTTGTTGTTCTTAGGCTTTAACTTTTAAGTTTACTGATTTACATCCTTTAATTCCTGTTTTACAGCTCAAATTATTGTTGTTCTGAGCTGATGGAAAACCTTTCTCTAAGAAAAGGTCTGGTGGATGAAAGCAAGTCACACGCCAAGTTTTAAACTAAGAATGTTTGATGTTGAAATCAAACTTAAAACGAACTGTGAGAATTTTTAAAGTGTTTCAGTCCTAAACGTGGATAAAACGTTTCTCATTTTATTTCAACCCAACTGTAAATCGAATCACTGAGGTCATAGTTATAATTCTGTGCTGGTTGTTGTGGAACTTTAACGTCACGAGGAAAAACTACATGAATAAAGCTATTTTCCAGAGCAGTGTCTGTAAGCCAAATAATCAAATAAAAAGTTGTATTTTCTTTACAACCTGTGCAGACAAACTGTTCTGCTGGGAGAATTCTAAACAAAAAACTGAAATAACTTTGTTTTTATACTTTACAGGAGCAAGATGTTCTTTATATTCATCGTCATGCTGAGCATCAATACCTGCCAGGTTTGTTTTAATCTCATAAAAGAAATCTCATGATGAAAAATTAGAATAATAAACGTAACTAAAGTTGTTTGTCTGTTGTTTTGTATTTTGACAGACTGCAGGACAGAGTAAAGTGGTTTCTCTTACTTTAAACATCATTACATGTATTTCACCACATTGTCACTAAATGAATTGTAAGGTTTTATTTTCATTTTTCAGAGAACTCGACACAAATGCATTACGCCACGCTGACAATCGACCAAAGTGTTTTGCAGAATATCACTGCGAAACTTTCCAAATTCTTCGTGACAAACTCAAGCTTACAGATCAAAAACCTTCATATCACAACAAGTAAAATATTAAATAATGTTTTATTAACCCTACAAACTGTATTTCAATGAAACAGAATGAGTAAAAATCCTTTTCCCTTCTTGTTCTTGATGTAAGACTGCAACACGAGCAGTTGTCATTGTGAACCAGGCTACAGCTGGAGTGAAACCACCTGTAAGTCCAACCTGTCGTGTTGTGGTAAAAATTCCTGTTTCCTCTCAGGAGCCACATCTCTGAGGTGCATCTCTGACTATACAGGTAAATAACATTTATCCAACACACAGAGTCTTCATCCTCATTTGTTTGTCAAACAGCCATTAATATCAGACTGATAAGCTGGGGAAACACAAACTGTAGATTTTATACAGTTGTTTCATTTATTGGAAGAACAAAGAGATCTAAACTAATTTATAACTTACAATGTAAACCTAATAACTGGTTGTGCCCCCTGGTGGCAACAAAAACAACAGTTGTTTAAAACAGCTGTTGAGTTGTTCTGCTGCAGAGCCTTTAAGATAAGATAATATAATATAAGATAAGATAAGATAAGATAAGATAAGATAAGATAAGATAAGATAAGATAAGATA